TGGATCCAGTGAGCTGCTCCCTCCTGGCAGAGCAGCTCTCAGGGCTGGGCTGAGCTCTGTGTCCCTTGGATCCCCCCGGGGCAGGGGGGACTCTCTGATGTCACAGGGGTCTCTGGGCACCACCGTGTCCCACATCACAAAGGGTCCCTGTGTCACAAAGGGCCACACCCAGCACCCCACCAACAGCTGGAGAAGTGGCACCACGGGGACCACATGTGGCTCCTCAAGGCCAGGTCTGGGCAATCCCAGAGTCACTGGAACACCGAGGCTGGAAGAGACCATCAGGAGCATCCAGTCCCACCGTCACCCAGCACCACCTAATCCATGTCCCCAGGGGCCACCTCCAGGTAGAGGGGCCCAGGGGCTGCTCCTCCTGCCCAACCAGGAGGAAATCTGAGGCATGGAACGCTCAGACAGTCAGCAAGAGGCTGGGAAGGGGCTGCAGGAGCTACAGACCTGTGTGTGTACAAACAAACACATCACTTTTTTAATATATATTTCTAATAAACTCAAGCAACTGGTTGAACACAGAGAAGAGCATTAAACACAACTATATCCCCAAATGCCCAAATATCTCCAGTTTTAACCCAACGGTGCTTTTGTAACCCACGTCCTTAAGGCAGTGGGAGAGCACCCAGGCTACCACTGCCACCCTTCTGCTTGGGGACACCCTGCAGAGGTGACAACATGGCCCTTGGTGGCCCTGGGCCACCCACCTGCTGGCAGATGTGGGTCTGTCTGCACTGGGCAAGGCAGAGTGGGCACAGCCTGGGGTGCTGGGGGGTCCTGGGGGGGAATAAGAGGAAGGTAACAGCTATAATAATAAAATAATAATAATTACAATAATAATAATGTATTTATTTTATTTTTAAACCTTTCTTTTAATGATGACAAGGCTGACACTGACGCTGGCGGTGATAATATTGATATTATTATTAAAATTAATGGGTTTTGAGCTGGCAAAGCATGGGCCTTGGGCTCGTGCCCCCGCCTGTCCCCGAGGCTCAGCACCTGATGTGCCGCCCGCCCGCCGGTTCCAGGAGCACGATGGAATTGGAGTGACACGGAGGAAAATCAATCTGAACGAATGAGGTCACCTGCCTCATAAATAATTCATCAAAGGCGCCCGGTGACACACCTCGGCCCCGAGAGCCGAGAGGAGGGGGGCAGGTGGAGGGGCTGGGATGGGTGCTGGGGACAGGGGTGGGTGATGGGGACAGGGATAAATTATGGGGACAGGGATGGGTGCTGGGGACAGGGGTGGGTGATGGGGA